GAACTAGAGCTTGGTCTCAAGCCCTGGTAATTGGATATGGAGCCCCCTCACTGGGGCCCCTTCACTGTTAACCATTGGCCCATGAAAAACATCCTAACCAACTTATCAAAGCTAACATTAGCAATAAGTCGAGCAAGTAAGAAGTATCCCAGTTAAGAAATGACAAGCGGAGGCCAGTGGCGTGGTAGCCTAGCAGCTAAAGTCCTCGCCTTGAATGCGCCAGGATCCCATATGGGCGCTGGTTCTAATCCCGGCAGCTCTGCCTTCCATCCAACTTCCTGCTTGTGGCCTGGGAAAGCAGTCGAGGACGGCCCAAAGCTTTGGGATCCTGCACCCACGTGGGAGACTCGGAAGAAGTTCCTGGATCCTGGCTTCGGATCAGCATAGCATCGGCCGTTGCGCTCACTTGTGGAGTGAAGGAAGATCTTCCTCTCTGTCTGTCCTCCTCTCTGCATATCTGACTTTCCAGTAAATAAATAAATCTTAAAAAAAAAAAAATGACAAGCGTATATTACTGCCCATCACTCTGGTATTCTTCACCAAAATGCATAACCTCAGGTCAATCTGGAAAAAATCCAAAACTAGCAACCATATTCTATAGATACATTGACCACTATGTTCAAAGGTATCAAAGAATGACAGGCAAGAAGAAACAAAGAAATTCTAACACAACCGAAGGAGACTAAGGAAGCCTAACATTTAAATGTAATGGGATCCTGGGACTGGATCCGGTAGCAGAAAAAAGACATTAGTGGAAAATTTAGGGAAACAATAAAAAAAGTATAACTTACAATGCTGAAGTATTTTTCTTTGTTTTGTTTTGTTTTGAAGACTTATCTTTACTGGGGGCCCAATGCAGCTTAGCAGCTAAAATCCTTGCCTTAATGTGCCAGGATCCCAGATGGGTGACGGTTCTAACCTGGCAGCTCCACTTCCCATCTAGCTCTCTGCTTGTGGCCTGGGAAAGCAGTCAAGTCGGTCCAAAGTTTTGGGACCCTGCACCCGTGTAGGAGATCCAGAGGAAGTTCCTGGCTCCTGGCTTTGGATTGGTACAGCACCAGCCGTTGCGCTCACTTGGGGAATGAATCATCGGATGGAAGATCTTCCACTCTCTCTCTTCCTCTCTATATATATGACTTTGCAATAAAAATTTTAAAAATTAATCTTTAGAAGACTTATTTTTATGGGAAAGGAGGATTTATCGACAGAAGGAGACACACAGAGAAAGATCTTTCAGCCTCTGGCTCACTCCCCACATGGCTTCAACAGCAAGAGCTGAGATGATCCAAAGCCAGGAGCCAAATCCAGGTCACCCACGTGGGTGCAGGGTCCCAAAGCTCCAGGCTGTCCTCCACCACTTTCCTATGGGAAGTGCCGCAGCCAGGACACAAACCGGCACCCAAATGGGATACCAGAAGATGTCAGACAAGGACCCTAGCCACTAGGCTACCAGGGCCAGCCCACAATACTGAGTTCTTAAATTTGATAAGTGTATCATCATTATATTTAAAAATACCATGTGAAGCCAGATGAAGTATGTACTAATTCTACACTACCTTTACAATTTTTCTGCAAATCTGGCTTATTTTCCAAAGTTATAAGTAAATGAAAAGATACATAACTACACACAAAGTAGTAAGATAGGTGTTGTGCAAGATTGTTTTTCCTACTCAGAATTGCAAAAGGAAACTAGATTAAGCTTTCAAACCTAAAAGTTTAATGGCGGCCCAGCACAGTGGCCTAGAGGCTAGAGTCCTTGCCTTTGGCGCACCGGGATCCCATGTGGCCCCAGTTCTGGTCCCAGCAGCCCCACTTCTGGCCTGGGAGGGCAGACAGGGCGGCCCAAAGCCTTGAGACCCTGCATCCATGTGGGAGACCCAGAAGAGGCTTCTGGCTCCTGGCTTTGGATCAGCATAGCTCCGACCATTGCAGTCACTTGGGAGTGAATCAGCAGATGGAAGATCTTCCTCTCAGTCTCTCCTCCTCTCTGTATATCTGATTTCACAATAAAAATAAATAACTCTTAAAAATAAATAAATAACGGGCCAGGCGAGAATATGTAGAGGCTAAAGTCCTCGCCTTGAACACGCCAGGATCCCATATGGGCGCCGGTTCTAATTCCGGCAGCCCAGCTTCCATCCAGCTCCCTGCTTGTGGCCTGGGAAAGCAGCTGAGGATGGCCCAAAGCCTTGGGATCCTACACCTGCGTGGGAGACCCAGAAGAGCTCCTGGCTCTGGATTTGCTCAGCTCCAGGCATTGCAGCCGCTTGTGGAGTGAATCATTGGATGAAAGATCTTCCACTCTGTCTCTCCTCCTCTCTGTATATCTGCCTTTCCAATAAATAAAAATAAATAAATAAATCCACAGTAACCTTGTTCTAAATGAACCACTTAGAAAGGCAAACTGAAAGCAATATTTACTAAGTTTCCTTTTCAAATTGACTAAGAAAACCACCAAAATGTCTTCCACTGTGTCAAGATACTCTTCAGATTTTTTTTTAAGAAAACCAAAATTATCAGCAGCTTATGTTTAACGTTTAAAAAAAAAAGAGGAAAAGTGAGATCAAATATGTGAAATGGCACACCAAAAATTTACAGAATCAAATGATGGATCAATGAATTGAGAGACAAGAAACCAGATGTGAAGACAGAAGATACTGACATCAAGAAGAATCAATTCTGTGACAGAAACTAAGTTACCAAGATGAGAAAATGCAGGTACTTCCTTCACTGCCCTCAAACAATGATATTTAATCTAAATGTCTTTGTAATTTAACAATTTTAAGATGGATGCTGGGATAACCAAAGAATGAAGAAGTGACCAAAAAAAAAAAAGTGGACAGTGGGAAGGGAAGACATGTTAGTGGAGGCACTCCCCAGTCCTGTACACCACAAGAAAACAAGAGATTCACAGAGACTTGATAAGAACATCCCAAAGAACATCCAGTGCCCTTCATTCCAATTCTGCAATCAACTTCCTTTGTATTCCTGATTAGGTGGCCTGAAACAATGGCGGCGTCCCAGCCAGAGAATAATTAAACCCAATTGTACACAGGGAACCCAATACCTTGGGTCTCAGTCAGCTAGTGTTTGGCTTATCTGTCCCTGCTGAGTTCCCACTTTAGGCAGCTGTATTCTCAAACACCTGAATTCTGCCAAGGTGAGGTCAAAGAAACCTTGCTTTTTGTGATTTTTGCCACTTCACTATCCGTTGATTTATTGCTGTCATTTCCTCATCTGTCAACAAATAAAACTAATGCCTGGGAGATAGGACAGCATTGTTATTATCATTAAGCTAAATTTGAAAACAATGTAAGCAAGATAAGCATATGTGTATATATACATATATTTTTTTGAAAGGAAGTAGTATGGACCATCAAACTGCATCAACATAAAAGACAGGGTGCCTGAGGACAATCCCATACTAGAGTGTTGACAAAATCAAAGGTGAAAAAAAAAAGATGGCATCTCCAGCTTAGCAACTCTAATGTTGTCCACCAAACACCCGGCCTGTAATAGTTAGAGCGTGACAACTGTTCAGTCTAAATCCAAGTGCCAGCTTGGATTCAGGATTGATTTATAAAAATAGCCGCTGCTGCTCTTTGAATCTCTTTGCGCCCATGACTGGGCAGTGTTACCCTATAGGCCCAGAGCAGCTGTATTTCCCTCACCACACCCATTTATTTCTCTGCCTAACCAGCCAAGCTGCCGGCAGCGCATGGCGTCCCCCCCAACCCCCAACCATCTCCGCAGCATACTACCCTCCCTCCTCCTAGGCTGAGTGCGCAAATTGCAAGCACAAATATCCCCTGATGCAATGCCACAACCATCCCTGGGAACAAGCGGTGGCAGTTGCCAAAAGCTCAGCGCTGGGAAATGGGCGGGAGGGAGCGAGCTACGCTGCAGGGCTCTGCGGGCCGGCGGGAGGGAGACCCGAGAGGCCCTGGATACTGTAACTGGACCACAGGAGGGAACGCAGAAAAGGGGCTTTCCAGTAGAAAGCTGGGTAACGCTAACCTTTCCCCAGAAGCACATGGCTGCGGCCCGAGACTGGGTCCCCAAAGCTCCAAACTTCAAAGTCATCAAGGTCTCCTCCCCAAAGCAGTGAACGCCATCAAATTTACATATTCCTGAAGGTAAGCAGGGAACCCCCCCAACACTACCAACTACTCCCAAAAAATCCCCGCTATGGCAACTTCACTAAATCAGAGGAGTTTCAGACTACACACGGCAGAGGAACCTGCTCCATGTGCAACATCACAATCTGCTCTGGACAGTTTCCAATGGCCCCTCAAAGTCCCTGAGCTTTTCCTTCCACCTCAGCCTTAATAGACCACCACCCACCCACCCTGCTGCCGCCCGTCCCACCCTCGCAGCCAAACACACACACGCCCGGGTCACCAAAACGCACCAGGGCCCAAAGAAGCGCACAGACAGCAAGGTCCAGGCTCGGCCGACTCTCCAGACCACCCCTCAGCCCCACCCATAACCCCTACGGGCACCCAGGCTAAGGCTCACCTCAGTCCCACACCCCCTGACCTGCCCTCCCCCACAGCCTCAGAGAGCCACGCCAGGGTTCTGACACCCGTCCCGCCCTCCCCGAGCCCCACCCAGGGCCCAAGGCTGCAGCCGACCCTCGCTCGCTCCCGGGCTCAGCTCCATCCAGAGCCCGAGGCGCACGGCTCCGCCCCACGGCGCCGGACCTCCGAACACCGACCCCTTCCTCCCACCCGGCCCACGGCGCTCCCCAGATCGCGCCCGAAGGCTCCGAAAGTCACTCCAACAAAGGTACCCCCCAATACACACACAACACACGCCAGCCCGCCCCCTCCCGCGGCCACCCCCGCGTCCCACAGGCGGGCAGCCACCGCCCTTCTCCTCCTCGAGCGGGCCCTTGAGGGGATCCCGAGTGGCCGCGGGGCGAAGCTTGGGCAGCCCCCGCGCTGTGGGGAGGCCGCCCCTTCGAGAGGAAAGGGAGGCATGCCCGCGGCTGCACTTACCCGCCGCCGCCGAGCAGGAGCCGGAGCCCGAGGGAGCCTGGAGAGGGCCGGGAGGAGCCGGGAGAAGTCGGGAGGAGCCGGCAGGCAGCGAGCGAGTCCGAGGGGCGGGGCGCAGGGAGGCGGCCGCTTCCTCGTCGCCCTCTTGAGGGCCAGCGCGAGGGCGGGACGCCGCCACCGACTACCCAGCGGGCGCCGCCGCTCCAGCCAATCAGCGCAGCGAGAGGGCGGGCAGAAAGCCGCGATGAGCCAATGGGGGCCGGCCTCGCAGCCTCGACCTCTCCGTGAAAGCAGCGCGAGCGGCGGGCGGTTGGGGGCGAGGTGCGCATGGGAGCTTCGGGCCGCCCCCTCCCTCCCACGAACGCCCGAATTGACCGGGGGCTCGGGGCGACCACCTCTGCGGCTCTCTAATGACTGCCGCTTCCTTAGAGAACTTCGCTGCTTGGTGCCGGGAGGATGTGAGTTAGGGCGCCGGCGGCCTGAGTCTGGGTCTTCCTGGCCGGTCGGCATGTGGGCTCTGTGATGTCATCTGGGAGGGGCGCGAGGCCCGCCTTGGGGCAGACGGCTGATGACTGGACAGAGCAGGGAGAGAGAAGGGGGCGCCAGAGGACGCGACCGGGGGACCCCAACGGGCCTCCGCAGCTGCCAACCAGGAGTAGCTAGTGAGCTCTTGATACGTGGCCCATGCAGATTTTGAAAAGTGCTGTTCAGTGGAGAATACACACTGGATTTCTGAGACTTACTACAAAAAAAAAAAAGCCTCATTTTTGTTACTGATTACGTCCGGCTTCGCTAGCCTGGTGGCTAAAGCCCTCACCTTCCATGTGCTGGGATCCCATATGGGTGCTGTTTCGTGTCCCAGCTGTTCCACTTCCCTTCCAACTCCCTGCCTGTGGCCTGGGAAAGCAATCTAGCAGGGCGCAAAGCCTTGGGACCCTGCACCTGCCTGGGAGACCTGGAAGAAGAGCTGAGCTGCAGCTGTTGTGGCCACTTGTGGAGTGAACCAGGGGATATAGGATTTTTCTCTATCTCTTCTTTATAAATCTGACTTAAAATAAAAGTAAACAAAATATTTAAAATATATATATGTGTATCTGTATTTACATTTCCTGTTAAAGGTTTTCCTAACATTTATTTGTAGGGAAAAGGCAGAGACAAAGGGAGAGACAGGAAGAGATCTTGTATCTGCTTCGCCCAAGCACTTGGGCCATCTCCCAATTCTCCAGGCACATTCGCAGGGAGCCAGATGGGAAGCTGAGGAACAAATGGGGACTTGAAATGCAGGTTATGTGGAATGCTGGTATCACAAGGATCCAGTTAACACACTGGACCCCGTTTTACTTTTTTGTCTTAAACATTTATTTTTATTAGAAAGGCAGATTTACAGAGAGGAGGAGATACATAGAAAGATTTTCTGTCCACTAATTCACTCCCAAAGTGGCCTCTGCAGCCAGAGCTGAGCTGATCCGGAGCCAGCAGCCAAGAGCACAGAGCCTCTGCCAGGTCTCCCATGCGGATAGGATCTCAAGGCCATCCTCTATGTTTTCCCAGGCCAAAGGCAGGAAGCTAGATGGGATGTGGAGCAGCCGGGACATGAAATGGCGTCCATATGGGATCCCGGTTGTGCAAGGTGAGGATTTAGTCACTGAGCCGTTAGTCACTGGGTCCACTGGGAGCCCTCTTTAACTTTTTCAAATGGGGCCCGGCGCGGTGGCGCAAGTGGTTAAGTCCTCGCCTTGCACGCCCGGGATCCCATATGGGCGCCGGTTCTAATCCCGGCAGCCCCGCTTCCCTTCCAGCTCCCTGCTTGTGGCCTGGGAAAGCAGTCGAGGATGGCCCAAAGCTTTGGGAACCTGCACCCGTGTGGGAGACCCAGAAGAGGCTCCTGGCTTCGGATCGGCATAGTATCGTCCCGTTGCGCTCACTTGGGGAGTGAATCATCGGACGGAAGATCTTCCTCTCTGTATATCCGCCTTTCCAATGAAAAAATAATAAAAATAAATCTTAAAAAAAAAAAAAAAAAAACTTTTTCAAATGTAGCTGCTAGAGAATTTAAAATTGCTACTTCAACTGGATAGCACTGGTCCATGAATGTATTAGTGCCACCTAATATATACTATGTTCACTTTCTAGGCACTCTTGAAAGTACAGAAACATAGTTAATTTCATCATCATCAATCCTATATGATGGCTTATTCACATGTTACTAGTGAAAAAGAAACAGTTTAGTCATTTACTTAGTCTCAACAGGCCAGTATTTTCATGAATGGAGCTTTTGCTCTGTAACCAGGTGCTGGGGCCACACACTTTTCCTTGAGCACTGCGTTGGTTAATGCAAAGAACACATGATTGAATGTCCTGGGTTGGAGACCCAGCTCTGCTGCTTTCCACCTGTGCATCCTTGGGGAAGGTGAAGCTTCTGCTGCATGAGTTATAAAATTGAGATGATAGTGGCCAGCCTCTCTGTCTCTAATCAGATGACCTAGAGGCAGCTTCTAGTAGATGTTTACAGTGGACTCTGGACCCAGATTCCATTATGCAAATCCAGACACTTGCTATTTTTGCAAATTAGGTGAGCTTGCAGGAGCTATTGGATCCATCCATACCTCAGTTTCAGCCATAAAAGACAGGTAATAATGGCACCAACCTTGTTAGAGTTATTTTATGGATGTACTTGATAGTATGTAATAAAAGTGCTTAGTTTGGTATACAGTACTTAATAAGCACTTAGAGTTTCCTGTTAAAATCACAGTGACTATTAAAAAAAAGTGTTAAGAGCTTATACAAATACAAAGGAATCAAAAGAAGAGACAGGGCTTGGCGCAATGGCATAGTGGTTAAAGTCCTCACCTTGAACGCACCAGATCCCCTATGGGCCCTGGTTTTGTTTGTTTTATAGGATCTATTTTATTATTATTATTATTATTATTATTATTATTATTATTATTATTGCAAAGTTAGAGAGGAGAGACAGGAAGATCCTTTGTCTGATGCCTCGCTCCTCAAGTGACTTCAACAGCTGGAGCTGAGCCAATTCGAAGCCAGGAGCCCAAATCTTCTTCCAGGTCTCCCATGTCGGTGCAGGTTTCCAAGGCTTTGGGCCATCCTCTACTGCTTTCCCAGGCCACAGGCAGGAAGCTGGATGGGAAGCAGGGCAGCTGTAATTAGAACCAGTGACCATGTGAGATCCTGGTATATTCAAGTCTAGGACTTTAGCTGCTAGGCTACTGTACCAGGCCCTATTGCAACTTTTCATGGAGTAGACCAACAGATAGTCCTTCTCTCTCTCTCTTTCTCTTTTGATCTTCCAAGTAGATGAGAGAAAAAAAGAAATAAAATACAAACTCAGCTGCCTTTCCTCCTCCTGCCTGGAATGAGGACAATACCCAGAGGCAAAGCAGCCATTTTGAGACAATGAGGACCAAAACTTCAGATTGAGGGTGAAGAGCAGGATGATGGAAGACACCAGGTCCCTAATGGCCCTCAACAACTCCACACACCTCTGACCTCTGGGCCTCCTGTACAGTGAAAATGTCAACCTCTCTCAATTTCTTCATCAACCAGGAAACTCCTTGTCAATAAAATGGTTCTTGTCTCATTCATTTGTAGCTCGCTGCAACCCCAACCAGTTTATAGAGTTTAAAAAACCCAGAACTGCAGATTGAGAAACCCCACTGCTGTCCCGGGCCAAGCCATTCTCATCTCTGGTTCCTCATCTCTGTCGGGGGAAGCAGAGAGAGATGTTCTCTCCCATCGCTGGCATCCTGTAGTCTCATCATTGTTCATGCTGGGCTAGATATAACAGTGGCCCTTTGTGTCCTTAAAATATGACTAACTCTGGGGCCCAGCGCGGTAGCCTAGCAGCTAAAGTCCTCACCTTGCGTGTGCCAGGATTCCAAATGGGTGCTGGTTCTAATCCCTGCAGCCTGTCTTCCCATCCAGCTCCCTACTCTGGGAACTCACAAACTTCCTTAGTTCTGTGACTTCAGCACTAACTCCAAGGGCCAGTCTCCTTCAACCCACCATGTGCAAGAAAGTCAGGAAACACTTTTGGGTCATTTTGTGGATACAAAGGAACACACACACACACACACACAACTAGGTACTTGTTCTCCTTTTCTTGGGCTCATTTCATTGACCCGCCCCTGGAGGAAGCAAGGCAGGGAGGCGTGGCTTTGACTCCTTAAACAATGGAGCACTCTGCCCATCTCTACTCCTTACCACTGACTGAAAGATTGCTCCTCTTGTGGCCTAAAATGAAGAGTTGGTGAAACGCAGGGAGGGGAGACAGGTCTGGGGGGCAGATCTCAGAAGGGGCCTTCAAGCCCTGGTATTGCAAAGTTGATGCACAATTTGTGAAGTCCACCTCGTGCGGTGAGGTCACTTCCACGGCTGCTAAGAGCTTGCTCATTCATGTGTCATGCTATGTAAAGTCCTCACCTTGAATGTGCTGGGATCCCATATGGGTACCAGTTCATATCCTGGCAGTCCTGCTTCCCATCCAGCTCCCTGCCTGTGGCCTGGGAAAGCATCAATGACAGCCCAAAGCCTTGGGACCCTGCTCCCTTGTGGTAGACACAGAAGAGGCTCCTGGCTTCAGATTGGCTCAACTCCAGCTGTTGCGGCCGCTTGGGAAGTGAATCAGTGGATGGAAGATTTTCTTCTCTGTATATCTGACTTTCCAATAATTTTTTTTTTTTAAGAAAACAAGTATGATAAATTAAAAAAAAAAAAACAAACCTGAAACAAACTGGGCAACTCCTCTCTCCACCACCCGCCACACCATATTGAGGAAGTAAGTTCAGAGATGTGAAGTGATGTGCTGAAGGTCACACAACTACTGGGGGACACATCCTTGGACTCCTTGCCTAGTACTCCGTCTACCATACTTCGATTCTTTTCCTCTCTCTGCTTTTTCTCTTCAGGATCCATTGTCAGGCCACAAATCTTAGCTACTATTGGTTGTGACCCCAAACTGTTCACAGTGATATTCCTCAATTCCAGGCACATGGCATGCTCAGCAAACACCTAGCTTTCAGGACGGCACTTGGCTCAACTGGAGAATCCTCCTCTTGCAAGTGGCAGGATTCCAAATGGATAC